TGCCTAGATTCATTAATATATATGTGAATATGGGCAATGATAGAAAGTTTTATAACTTGAAACGGAGATAGTATATAATTAATTAAGTATATATTATTATAAATTTAATAAAATAGTTTTTTTATTTTTTTCATAAACTTTTATATATAAACATTTTACACGAAACACATTGTTTAATGGTTCAAAAAGCATGTTCTTAAAATAAAGTGTAGAGCCCTCAGACTAAATCGACCGCATCCTAAACCTGTTTTGAAGATATAAGGGACAATTGCTTATTTGACCCTGTTTTGAAGCCTAACTACCAATATAACCCTACATTTTCTAGTTTGTTTATTTGACCCTACATTTTAAAAACGAACACTCCGTTTGGCCCTGTTTTTTTAACATTGTTAAGTTTTCATTTAAAAAAAGAGAAAGAAATACAATTATTTTTCGTAATGACCAAAATACCCTCGACCAAACCCTATCCATATCTACGTCTCTCCCCGTATTCCGTCTCTCTCTCTGAGTGCTGGTGGTGGCGGTGGCTCGTGGAGGGAGAGTGGCGGCGACCGCGAGGTGCGGCGGCGGCGGCGGCTCGTGGAGGGAGGGAGGGGATCCGCATGGCGCTGGCTCGCGGAGGGAGGAGCGGCGACGCCGGCCTGTGGAGGGAGGGAGCGGCAGCGACCGTGTGGTGCGGAGGAAACAGCGGCGGCGACCGTGGGGGGATCCGTGCCGGCGCCGCCGTCGTCGGTCGTCTTCCACGTCGTCGAGCCGCTAGCGGCGCTCCTCGTCGCCGAGCTGCCGCTCCATCGCAGCCACCGCCAGCGGAGGGCCACCTCGTCGCCGAGCCGCCACCGCTTCTCCGCAGCCCTCCGCATCCGCCGCCAGCGGCGGCCCTTTGCATCGCGCCATCGAGCCGCCGCTCCTCCCACCGCCCCTCCTCATCACTAAGCTGCCGCTCCTCTGCATTCGCCGCTCCTCCGCCACTAGCGGAGGGCCGCCTCGTCGTCGAGCCGCCGCCGCTCGTCCGCAGCCCTCCGCATCCGCTACCAGCAGCAGTCCTCCGCGTCGCGCCGCCGAGCAGCCGCTCCTCCCGCCGCCCCTCCGCGTCGCCGAGCCGCTGCTCCTCCGCAGCCGCCGCCGCCGCCGGCGGAGGGCCGCCTCGTCGCCGAGCTGCCGCCGCTCTTCCGCATCGTGCCACCGAGCCGCCGCTTCTCGGCAGTGCTCTGGTGAGAGAGCGAGAGAGAGAAAGTAGAGAGAGAGTGGATAAGAATGAGTGGTAGAGGATAGATGGATGTATTAGGGGCATTTTCGTCATTTTACCACTTAGTTAACGGTGTTAACTCGTCTTAACGGAATAGGGTCATCTTTCCTATTCGATTTTGAAAAACAGGGTTAAATTAGTAGTTAGCTTTTAAAATAGGGTTAAATAAGCAATTGCCCCAAGATATAATGTCTCAATCCCATTAGGCAAACATGTCCGGAGAGTGTAGAACTTCATGACCAATGTGAATTGCTGAGGGATAGCTAGGACATTGACCGGCAATATCTGTACCCTTTACAAGACCGATCCGTTCACCCTTTTCTCCTTTTGTGTCTTCTGGATCAATGACATCAAGACGTGCCCAGACAAAAGTAGTAGTGCAACTTCAACAAGACACAGCAGCAACCCAGATGGCCGTGCTTGAATCAACTGAAGGAGACACATAGGCCTTCCAACTTTTTATCAGCGAATATGGTCCTAACTTTTGAAATGCACGTCATGAATCTTTTTCTATAGGCAAATGTTATTTTTTTTAATTTGTAAGGACAACTTTTGCACTTCATGTGAAAAGTACAATAGTTACACATGTAAGTCTCTCTCCCAAAAAAAAGTTACACATGTAAGATTTGTGCATGCAACTATGAGGAAAATTGGAAATGGCTCATGAAGGGCTAAACTAGTTCGGATGGCTTGATTTTTGCATGTGAGAATTGTATCCCAAGAGTTTGTTGGACAAGGAAGAAATGGACATGGAAGCTTGAATGAAGGGCAAATAGCTAATACGGTCACTGAAGTTTCACTGAAACTTCAGTTTAGTTTAGTTCTTGAGGTTTCAAATCGTCCAAACGAGTCCTCTAAATTAATCATTTGGGTTAATATAGTCCTTGGACCCAAAAAACTGCCACGTGAGCATGCCAAGTCATCCTCGCATGCAGTTGTATGAACGAAATAACTATTCTACCCTTATATACCATATAGAAAAGAAAGAAAAAAGAAGAAGAAATGGTTCAGACATGTATGATCGTTTTAGAATTTTCACTTACGATTGCTGCAGCCCAGCACTGATCGTGTAAATTCCTTTGTCGGCCACCCATCCACAACATTGCTGGGCCTGGCCTTTTTTTTCGTTTGTCTTTTCTTTCTTTTCTATATGGTACATAAGGGTAGAATGGTCATTTCATTCATACCGTTGTATGTGAGAATGACTTGGTATACTCACATGGCATTTTTTTTATGGGTCTAAGAACTATATTAATCCAAATGATTAATTTAGAGGATTTTTTTGGACAATTTTAAACATCAAAGACTAAATTGAGCCTGAAGCAAAACTTCATAGACCGTATTGGCTATTCACCCTTGAATGAACAACCTGTTTTTCTGCCTGTACCCACCATGCAACACCAATTCAAATTTGGTTCAGCTCGGAATTGGTACTTTTTCGTTGCTGCTGCTTGCAAGTTTTTCTCACCTTCTTGCGAAGGCCGCCCGGCTGGCACGTTGTTCTTTTAATGTAATGATGTATAATTATTTTGCGCGTTCGTGAAAAAAAAAAATTCTCTGGCTGTGTTTATTTTTCCTCTAATCTAAAAAAACAAGCTTACAAACTCAATCATTTCTAGCTAGCAAAATCCTTCTTTTCATGACATGATAAAAAACAATCTTATAAGGCCTAAAACAAACTAATCTTGAACATCTGGTTGGGCATCGGATTTAGTTCTGTTGGGCCTAGCTGGGCTACTCAAGCCCATCGATGAAGCAAAACTGAGGCTACTCTGGCCCAATTTCTTTTACCAGTTAACTTATGACAAGTCCAAACACTATCATTTCATAGAGAAAATAAAAAAAAAAGTCTATTTGCCTCCCTAAACTATGGGCCGATTCTAGTTGGCATTTCTCAACGGTAACAAAACCTAATACAGAAGAGGTTACCTTTAACTATCAAAATCGGCTCATTTTGCCTCTTCGAGTATTTTGGTCGGTGGATTTTTTTTTCTAATTGATACTTATGTGGTATTATTTGTCTAATGGGTATGTTGACTTGATCAACACATGCTGATATGATATTCACGTGGCAATTCAACCTTAAAAGAAAAGAAAACCATAGGGCACATCAAATAAATCCGTTGATGGCAATGTCACGCAAGCGTCACGTAGGAGAAAATCACCATCAAAACCACTCCAGGAGGCAAAATACACTAGTTTTACTAGTTGAGGTAGTCTTAATATTTGATTTTGTGATTAAGGATGCGAAATTAGACTTGATCACACAGTGAGTTGAGGGAGTTAGCATGGACTCTAGCTTCTTTCACAATAGAGGACGATCATATCTCTAGCACATTATAGCACATTATAGAGAGGACAAATGAATCTTGGCGGTACGTATGGGAATGGAACAAATACTTGGTCCGTCACTGACAATGCTTTTTTCCCTAAATAATTTGCCTCTGGCAAAGTTGAATTTCTACATTACTTACTGCAAGAGAAATGCAAGCATAAAAATGCGACATCTTAAGCATATTCTGAACTAAAGACAAGCTCTTGTGCTAGATAACACGATTTATAAGCCTTCTTGCATGCCAAATATAGATGTCATAGTTGTATTTGGACTTTAATGACTAATTCGTCCTCATGCGATTTCTTAAGTCCTTTACCAAACTATGTGTTCCATGTTCATCCAAGGAACATGGAAGGAATGAGAAGACACGACCACATTAAACATCTCAATCACTCGAGCAATATGGAAGGAATGAAATAGTAGGTTGTTTGCAACGCGTCCCTCTCCTTATTGTCTAAATGCAAAGCTTTATTTTTATCGTTTAGCACCCTTTAGGTACCGGCCTCCCTTTCATTCTCTTACTATTTTTTAATATGTACGTGCCACACTTCTTAATATAAGTGGAAATTGCTTATATAGCATTACATATAGACTTTAAGCTATTCACTCAAATACTACTTATGGCATTTGCTGAAACTATCCATGGGACACATTCCCTTAAAGGGTACCACAGAGAGGATAACACTAACACATAAGCAAAGTGAGTAGTGGTCTTGGTTTGGCTTTTTTGTTTTTTCTAGATGAACTTGATATAGATTGCTCCAGTATTGTCAATAAAGATAAAAATATACAGTGAGCGACACTGGGTAGAGCTTATTTGTCTATAGGACAGAGTCTGACAACTCTACCTTCCAATTGTACACCTGATATGCAATCTTAGAACACCTTTAGATCTGCACATAACAATGATCATGAAGCCTTGTTGGACGGTCATCTTGTTTCTCTCATCGAAGGTAGATAAATAAGAGCAATTGAATTTGAAGCTATTCATCCATTCTCTGGCACCCAGTTAAATGTCAAGAGCAAAGCTTGAGCTCTATCCCAAAATTTCATTCTCGAGTCTCGTCATTGTATTGAAAGTATTCACAAGCTTTTAATCTATATCCATGGATATGAAAGTCCAAAACCTGTTCATCTTTTCTATAGGTACCAATGGAACCATGGTCATTGAAGCTAGATTTCTAGCTAGACCCACTCTATCTTTTAACCTTGTCTCTAGACTGCTTTTTTTTTTAAAGAGAGATGGGCACTCTAGACTAGCCAATATTACAACCATGGATATTTTGAACTCTATTTTCTATACCTCAGACCTCTAATCGTACTTTCACTTTCACAAATTCATCAGAACTACCAAAAATCTCTCTATATAGTATTGCAGCATTTCTCATTTTATCACCAAAGTTAAATAAAGGGTTTAACCGAAAAACGGGGGAAAGAAATAGGCAAAGACAGCCACGCGATTTTTCTCAGGGCGATCCACAATATCTCGTCACGGTCTGGGCCTCTGGGGCGCCATCCACCGGCGATCTCGGCCGCCGCCCGCCAATGGCCGCCGCCGCAGCGGCTAAACCCTTCCCGTTCCTCGCCGCCGCCGCCGCCGCCGCCTCACGGTCCCCACTTCCCCTCTCACCCGCGGCACGGCCGGCCCCAGCCTCGTCCCGCTTCGGCGACCGTCGCGCTCCCGCGGTGGTCGCTGCCACTGCCCGCCGCCGCGGCGCCCATGGGGTTCGAGCTCTCCGGCCCCTTCTCCTTCCCCGCGCCTCCGCTTCTCCCTCCGCGAAGACCGCGGCAGGAGGTATGCCCGGTGTAACGGAACTGGTGCTTTGGTGCGAGGTTGGGGTTGCCGGGTTGAAGTAGTGACAGGCAGTTGTTTGTTTGATTCTGAAGGCATGTCTGACCCGGAGCTAAGGATGGTGCTCGAGCTCGCCACCGACGAGGAGCTGATGGAGTTCGAGGAGATCCTATACGGTACCAGGTTCGATTTCTTGCTGGTAGTTCTAATGCTTTGTGGTACTGAAATAAATAATTGGGTGTGTGGATTGGTTGGTTCTGAAATAATTTCGATAAAATTCCTATTCGCGGTTAGTTGTGGGGTATGTTGTGAAATGCGAATTAATACTTGCTGTTCTATTGGGTATTCCGTTGCTACCTTCTGTAATTATGCCACTGACAGTAAATAGCAATGTTTTATGATTTGCCTGTCATGCAAATTTGCAGCGCCCAAACCTTTGTAAGTACAACAAATTTGTGAAATATCTTGCCACTGCTATTTTGCTGCCTGTAAATATGTGGCATGAAACATTTAATTAGCTTCTGAATAATAGTTATGAGCCACAGATGGCCAAACCCAAGCCTGCAAATTTATCTAAGATTAAGAGGTAAACTTTACTGTACCTATGATGAAATACATCTGTTATTGTATCTGACGTGTTGAGCATGGAGTTACCAATTTGTAAGAACTTCCTTTTCTCTTGATTTTTTATTTGCTTTGCTCACTGATTCAGTAACTCAGTTAGACTCACCTACTGACCTACTGAGTTTGTAATGTGAGAGCCATAGTATCTGTGAAGGAATATTTACCAATACTATTCCAATATTTCACCTTGCAATCAAGTAAATTTGTTTTCTATGCAGCTATTTTAGCCCACTGCTAAAATCAATTGCAAAAAGACCCAATTCAGATTATGTCGATGCTTTGGATGATATTGAGGAGAGAGATATTTTCATCTCAAAATTAGAGTCGAGGTTCCTGTATCTTGCTGCCGATGCCCGCTCAATCATAAGGTCAGTCAAGTAGCCTTTTGTTTTCTGTCTCAAATAGAAGTAGCCTTTGATTGGATTGACTTTTCTGTTAGTCAGCCAGCTTTAGTTCATCTATTTATTGAAGTTTTAACTGAACATTTGCACCTTTAAACTTGTATTTCATAGGGGATCTCGACCATCATACAGGAATGTCTTACTTGGAGTGAGAAGAGAACTTGGTGTTCGCTGCTCTAGTAAATTATGCACGGCAGACCTTGAGGCAGAAATATTTCTTCACCTGCTAGATGAATATTCGAGGTACTTAAAATATGGATGGAGAAATGTATCTGCAAACAAAATACCCTTCCGGAAAACAGTGCTTCCCTAAATAAATCATGTAGTCATCATCGCATGCAACTGCCATTTCATTTTTTGAACAATTTTCTTTGATGTCATTGTCACCATGAAGTATTCACTCTCTATCTGTGAATCCTTTCACAAGTCTGCAGTCTGCTACTCTCTTTAGAACACTAGTGGTCTTGACTCTTGAACATTAACATTTTTAATTGTCATGCATTCAGCCGTCAGAAAGGCTCAGATTTATTTCCGTGGAATAAACAGAAATCTCCAAAAGACAACTCTAGCCTTGGAGTTAACAAGTGGATGGTGCTTACTGATTCTGCTTGGAAGATTGGAGCAAAAGGACTAGAAAGTGCATTCTTGAAGGTTCTTTGTGATCCTCTTTATTATTATTTTCCTTTGTATCCCTCCAGTTTTTCTTTTTCTTTTGACTAATTCAGTTTTTTTTCCTTGAAGGGTGGTAGTGCATTGACTCTGAAAATGATCTATGAATCGGTAGGTATACTGTTTTATGAAGTTAGATTGATTTTACTTTTTCTTACAGCATCATTAGACATTAATGGACTTATCATCATGGTAGTTAGCCAAGAGACTATCTGGAAAGCTGCTCATGGAGGCTGGTAAATATGAGATAAAGAAAGAACTTCTAAAGCAGGTATATGTATTTTAGTTGATATCTGTAAGCAATTTTTCCTGATTTTATTATTTGCTCATCTCATAATTCTTTTAACAGAATAATAGATATACTCATGTTCTGGCCCCACCTGAAAAATGCAGTAGCATAGCTTGATACACAGATCATATACACAAGCTGTAACTATTTTTTTAATTGTTATAATAAATATCCTTTGGGAGTACTGAGGTTTGCCATCTGCAGGGTGGACGATTAGCTGCTGTTAATCTGGAGTCTCGAGCTGGTTTGCTTGCAGCTAGGCAGGTAACATTCTCATCTGTCAGCAGCTACTTCCATGCATAATTGGTATATTATGCTCCCAGTATTATCTGAAAAACTGCACATTTTAGATGGTCGTTTGAATAATCCTCTTGAATGTATGCATGCAGGGTTTGGCACGTGCAGCATCTAGATATGTTGGTCTTAGGAGTGTCATGACGTTTCTTGGACCAATGTATGTTTCTGCTAATATATCTGGAATCTGTTTGTTGCTGTATTTTTTTAAATCAATAATACACTATCAGGTTTCCGCATGTTTCTATAAAAAATTTGACCTCTTTTCCTTTTTGGTCAATAGTAGGTTCTTATGGTTAATTTATTTTTGGGTGCATGATGTATTCATGTTTTGCTACTTCAACTTGCTGTTCTGAGTTTACTGTTTGTCAGATCTACTTTTTAAGTAATGATTCATTCACAATAAGCTTCTTCAAATGCTTTGTTGTGTTGAATTTTGAGCAGACTATAAATCAGTTACTGACTCTTCTGTTCTACAACTTCTTGCTGCATAGAATGTGGGGGACACTCTTGGCTGACATTGTGATCCAAATGCTTGGGACAGACTATGCTAGAATTGTGCAGGCAATCTATGCTTTTGCTCAGGTGAGCTTCTGATTGTTCAGTTTTTCGTCCAGTAACTCACTGTCCATCCATTGAGTTCACATCTTAGCCTTTCTAACAGATTCGGCTGACTAGGACATCTTACATAGAATCTCATGAAGAATAATCAACAGTGGGACATTTCTGGTCTGGACTAACAGGGCATTCTGGGCCCATAGTGTACATTCTGATCATGCAGAACATTTTTGGTTGAGTGCTGGCGCAATTCTCCCAAGAGGACTCGAGGACAGTAAGTTCATACTTTCACAGAAGTTGTGCAGCTGATGTAAATGCATAGAAGTTAGATGACAGAACAATTGATAGATGCTAGGTAGGATAGATGGTACAGATGACACACAAATCATCTATGCTTTTGAATTCTCCAAGGTTTAAGGCTGCTGCTTAAGTGAGAGCTTGTTATACATTCCAGGAAAAATTAATTTACTGCCACTATAGAATGGTGTAATTGTATTTAAGAAATAGCTCACAATGACCATTAGGGCCACCTACTCTCTAAACGCGGTAGTTGTGAATGAATATACATCCACTTCACACTTCCACGAGGGCCCGAAGTTGTAGACCATGCATTCCATTCTGCTCCAGTTAATTATGCAACAAAACGGTTCCCCTGATCTTAAACTATTGCCCCCCTAACATTCAGTTAGGCAAGGCATACTTCATTGACATTAGTCCATGCTTATCCCAGCCATATGTTACAGATATGCTTACGTGTAAACACCAGGGCATAATTTGCATGTTGCACCCTGCTTATTCCCCTTATCAAAACACTAGCAACTAATTTATCAGTACAGGCTAGATATCATTATTCAAAATCGCAACAAGTATGGTATACTCACATTACCAAAACTTGCCATACTTCATTTAGCTAACATGTCTAACATGTGGCCAACAAAATTAAAGCCACACTTTAGCCATAGGAGAGTAAACTTGCCACACTTTTATGTGCCAATGACATGTAGGACCCACATCATGGTGAAGGAATCTTGTTAAAAGTGTGGCACCAACCAAACGAATGCCTAACTAAGTCAAACCTGGCTAACTTGAGTTGTGGCATGATGAGGCAAATTGTGGTAGTGAACCAAACAACCCCTTAATATCTACTTCCTCCGTTTCAGGTTATAAGACTTCATTGCCTACATTCATATAGATGTTAACGAATCTAGACACATTTATATAAATGTGTCTAGATTCGTTAACATCTATATGAATGTATATAAATGTGTCTAGATTCGTTAAACATCTATATGAATGTGGGCAATACTAGAAATTCTTATAACCTGAAATGGATGTAGTACTAGATTGTGTAACAATTCAGATAGCTAGTGCAATTGGTGATTGATTAATTTTACAGTCCTTATGTATTTGGAGGTATCATAATCTTAAGTGTTAATTTGTGATACCTCCTGGTCCTCAACACTAGAGAGATACTAAGTGGTAACACTGCAAAATGTGGCATCTCCTGGTACCTTTTAAGTACCAAATGCACTAGGTGCCTTTGCGCAAAATTCCCAGATGAGAGGACCCAATTTGTGATCGTGTGCGACATGTCTAGAAGGGTGGCCCATTGTTTACATTCCTTCACCAGATCGCCGAAGCTTTCTAAATCGCGGGCACTTAACGCGTGAGAAGCCCAATGAGACCTCCAAATGCTAACCTTAAAATCGCAGCGCTGCACGGCGACATGGTCTCCTAGCTAGCTGCCTAGCTTCTCGGCGACGTTGATTGGCAGCAACTAGCTAGCTCGCCGTCCGGCCGGCCGGCCATGGCGCCTAAGATGGTGATCAGCCTGGGGAGCTCGCGGCGGCGGAAGCGCGGCGAGATGCTGTTCCGGTTCGAGGCCTTCTGCCAGCCCGGCTACCCGGCGAACTTCGCCGGCGCCGGCGGCTTCAGGGACAACGTGAGGACGCTGCTCGGCTTCGCGCACCTGGAGGCCGGCGTCCACGGCGAGACCAAGTGCTGGTCGTTCCAGCTCGAGCTGCACCGCCACCCCCCCACCGTCGTGAGGCTCTTCGTCGTCGAGGAGGAGGTCGCCGCCTCGCCGCACCGCCAGTGCCACCTCTGCCGCCATATTGGTCCGTCGAACAAACTACAATTAATCAATCAACCTTTACATAGGATTGATCCGATCGATGCCATGGTGTTGTAGGGTGGGGGAGGCATCTGATATGCAGCAAGAGGTATCACTTCTTGCTGCCGAGGAGGGAATCGGCGGCGGAAGCCGACGGCCTGTGCTTCGCGATCAACCACGGCGGCGGCGGTGGCGCGGAGAAAGCGTCGTCGAAAGGGACGACGACGACGGCCTCCAGCAGAGGCCACCTGCTACACGGCGTCGTGCACCTCAACGGCTACGGCCACCTCGTCGCCCTCCACGGCCTCGAGGGCGGCTCCGACTTCGTCTCCGGCCACCAGATCATGGACCTCTGGGACCGCATTTGCTCAGCCTTGCACGTAAGGTAGTAGTAGTATACATGTGCGTGTGCATGCATGCAAGCAATGCAACGATGTCGGGCTGCGTGTGAGAACATTTGCTTGGGCATGGTGTGGTGTATGCAAGGACGGTGAGCCTGGTGGACACGGCGAGGAAGGGCCACATGGAGCTGAGGCTGCTGCACGGCGTCGCGTACGGCGAGACGTGGTTCGGGCGGTGGGGGTACAGGTACGGCCGGCCGAGCTACGGCGTCGCGCTGCCGTCGTACCGGCAGTCGCTGCACGTGCTCGGCTCCATGCCGCTCTGCGTGCTGGTGCCGCACCTGTCGTGCTTCAGCCAGGAGCTCCCCATGGTGGTCACCAAGTACCAGGCCATCAGCGGCCACAAGCTGCTCAGCCTCGGCGACCTCCTCCGCTTCATGCTCGAGCTGCGCGCCCGCCTGCCGGCCACCTCCGTCACGGCCATGGACTACCGGGGCATCATGTCGGAGGCCTCGTGCCGGTGGTCGGCGAAGCGCGTCGACATGGCGGCGCGCGCCGTCGTGGACGCGCTCCGCCGCGCCGAGCCGGCGGCGCGGTGGGTCACGCGGCAGGAGGTGCGCGACGCGGCGCGCGCCTACATCGGCGACACGGGCCTCCTCGACTTCGTGCTCAAGTCCCTCGGCAACCACATCGTCGGCAACTACGTCGTGCGCCGCACCATGAACCCGGTGACCAAGGTGCTCGAGTACTGCCTCGAGGACGTCTCCAGCGTGCTCCCGGCGGTCGCCGCCGGCGGCGGCGTGCCGGCGCAGGGCAAGATGAGGGTGAGGTTCCAGCTCACGCGTGCGCAGCTCATGAGGGACCTGGTGCACCTGTACCGGCACGTGCTCAAGGAGCCCAGCCAGGCGCTCACCGGCGGCGCGTTCGGCGCGATCCCGGTGGCGGTGCGGATGGTCCTGGACATCAAGCACTTCGTCAAAGATTACCACGAAGGACAAGCCGCGGCGAGCAGCAATGGCGGTGGCGGATTCGGGCATCCCCACATCAACCTGTGCTGCACGCTGCTCGTGAGCAACGGGAGCCCGGAGCTAGCTCCACCGTACGAGACGGTGACCCTGCCGGCGCACGCGACGGTGGGCGAGCTGAAGTGGGAGGCGCAGAGGGTGTTCAGCGAGATGTACCTCGGCCTGAGGAGCTTCGCGGCGGACTCCGTCGTCGGGGTCGGCGCCGACCAGGAGGGCCTCCCGGTGCTCGGGCTGGTCGACGTCGGAAGCGCCGTCGTGGTGCAAGGGAGCGTGGGCGAGCAGATAAACGGGGAGGACCACGAGAGGAAGGAGGAGGCGGCGGCGGCGGCCGTGTGCGAGGGGAGCGGCGGCGGCGAGCGCGTCGTGGACTGCGCGTGCGGCGCGGTGGACGACGACGGCGAGCGCATGGCGTGCTGCGACATCTGCGAGGCGTGGCAGCACACGCGGTGCGCCGGGATCGCGGACACCGAGGACGCGCCGCACGTCTTCCTCTGCAGCCGGTGCGACAACGACGTCGTGTCGTTCCCGTCCTTCAACTGTTAGATGTGATGCTGCTGCTGCTACTGCTACTACTACTGCCTCTGCTGCTATATATGATGCTACCTAGTACAAGTGATCGAGAATTCAATTTGTTTTCTCGGCAAAACCAAAATGAAAACGAAGGTAAAACCAAGTGAACTTCAGATCAATTCAGACTTCTCAACTTTCCTCCCAAGAGAAAAAAAAGAATATGAAAAACCATCGAGCCCACTTAATGTGGGCCGGTGTTTGTTTATTCCAGCCCAGGAGGATCCATGGTTAGAATCACCCAATCAGGCCAGGAGCCCAGGACAACATCTTCTAACAAATGGGTCTCCTAGAGGTGAATTACGGCTATACCATGATGGGCTGGGCCGTGACCATGTAACCTACCTGAAATGAGGTGCCCATGAATTTTATTGCTTCCAAGTTCAACTCATCTTCATAAGATAGTTTTCTTCAACTGTGTGATTATTATGTCAGTGGCTTAGAGCAGGAGAGGCTTGATGACCAGCTTAAGGGTTGCACCTAATGTCTAATGACTAAGTTAAGTACCTATCAGGTAACAGTGCTACTAAACTGGCAAGTGACCACCAAAAGATGAGCTATTCACATGGCCTGCTTGGAGGGGCCCACTTGGTGGTGTCATGAAAGGCCTTTTAGGAAAGGGGCTTCCCTACACTGTGGACACTGCTGCTGCTACTACTATCCTATTCCTACTCCACGTTTGCATGCATCCATGGGAGAAGGGAGAAGCTAGCCATGGTTTCTGGTTGGAAGCATCCAACTAACATCCTGAATGATTCATGTCTAGCTTTGATGGCAAGAAACATGCTTTAGCCCACCAACGCAAAAGCTAAACTGAACCTGCAACAATGTGCTCCCCATCGTGCTTGCACGCTTAATTACCTTTCAGATGCTTGAGATTTGAGATCCTCACTTTCTTTCCTTACTGTTAGAACAGTGAACAGATCATTCTCCATTTTATCTCTTCCAAAAGCCAAGTGGCTGCTGAGTAGTGATTAGCAAGAAGGTAGAAATTTCAGTAGAAAAAGGGACTAGTACATAGTGACATACTGCACACTTTGACCATTGCAACAGCAAAGAAGTGGGAATTGTTCTGAAGAAGAACAAAGCAAGAAGAAACAAATGACTTATCATTGAAGCAATGAAAAGAGAGGGAGGAAAGTTGTTTTGCTTTTATCTCTCTCACTGTCACTCTCTCTGCCAGTAGAGGGACTCCATTTGTCCTGTGTCCCTAGTGAGACAACCTAGCTAGCCTTTTCTTTTCCCCTCTCTCTTTCTGTTCTTTTGCAGTTTTGCATTGCAAGGACTGAAGGCCCCCTTTGTTAGGGCTCTTTCACTCACCCTGATGAGATGCCTGTTTCTCTCTCCATCTTTTTCCCGTCTCTTTTTGTTTCATTAATCTGTCTCTGACATGTTGAGGTGATCCACCACTATGGTGTGAGGGCGATAGGGGCACATGGTCTGGTGGCTCGGCTAAAAAGGGACTCATCAACTAAAAGGAAGGGAGCAAGTAGCTTAAGCTAGCAACAGAGTGAAGATAGGAAGATCGATGTGGAAGTGACTAGAGAACGGCATCTTGGAAGCAAGCCAGCAAGAGGAGCTACTAACTGCTTTTGCTCCGTTTTCTGACTAATAATGTGCTCATTTGCCACTCTCATTTTGCCTAGTTCAGGACACTCTCTGAAGCTCTTACTAACTAATTCAAAAGCAACATTAATTTTAATTACTGGCCACCTCCACAGTCCACATGCATTATTAACCCTGCCTCACAAAAGAAGATAAGACAACAACCTGCAGTCATTTTCTCCGACTGCATGAGTGTGTTGCCTTGCCTGTATCACACCATCACAGCATCACTGTCACTCACAGAGCTCTTGACGAGAGGTGTGTACTGGAGAGTGCTTGCAACTAGGGCAGTACGGCACCAACAGACCAATGCTTCGTGCCACCACTTGGTCGTCTTCCTCGTCGTGTTATGGCCGGAGGAATATCGCCGGAGAGGCGCCGGGTGCGGCCGGGGCCCTACACACGGTGGAGGCCGGCGAGGTGGAAGAGGAGTGGGCAGCGTAGAGCTATCACTCGCAGAGTATATAATCCATGGCGCCCACTATCCACTGAACCACACACTAGAGCTAAGCTAGCCAAAGCTAGGAGGAGTGAGGACCATGCATGGAGTCCAGAAGTAGTGTAGCCGTACAGTAGACGTTAGTCCGTCGGAGGTGACACTGACAGGTGGGGCCGCAGATCGTCTTTGTCTCGTTGCTGGCACAGACGGGACAAAGCCGGTCCAAGCTAAACTAGGCTACAAAAGCGATGAGGTAATGGACGATGGTTTGCTAGTAACTAGGATGGGGTACGTACGTTGTGCTGTCTTGTTGCCATTGGAGGATCTTTTGGCTCTTGTTGAGATAGTTGATGCCTATAGTAGAGTTTTTACCTGTAGCTCCATGGCTGATTCAATCGGGCAGAGTACAGTACACTTCTGTGCCTATAGCAGTGTGTAGTATAGCTAGCTTCTGTGGAGTTTATCTTGGATTCCAAGTAAGGCTGTGTTTAGATCTAGGGGTGTAAAATTTTGGCGTGTCACATCAGATATACGGACACATATTTAAAATATTAAACGTAGTCTAATAATAAAATAAATTATAGAATTCGCCTGTAAACCGCGAGACAAATTTATTAAGCATAATTAATCCGTCATTAGTAAATATTTACTGTAGCACCACATTGTCAAATCATGGCGCAATTAGGCTTAAAAGATTCGTCTCACAATTTACACACAATCTGTGTGATTAGTTATTTTTTTTATATTTAATACTCTATGCATGTATCCAAAAATTCGATGTGACAGTGTGTAAAATTTTGCTAGGGGATCTAAAGGCCCTGTTTAGATCCCACACCAAATTTTTCACACTGTCACATCGAACGTTTGAACACCTGCATGAAGTATTAAATATAGGCTAAAAAATAACTAATTGCACATATTGCGACTAATTTGCGAAACGGATCTTTTAAACCTAATTGTTCCATGATTTAACCATGTGATGCTACAGTAAATCACTACTATAGAAAGGGTAAAAGGTGCCGGTTCGGAAACCCTAATAGGTGCCGGTTTTCCGAACCGGCACAAAGGAGGCGGCACTGATGATACTTGTCATCGGTGCCGGTTCTAGAACCGGCACCTATTACCTATATGGTCCTAATAGGTGCCGGTTGTAAGCCAAATTGCCACGTGGCTGTCAAATAGGTGCCGGTTTTGAACTCAAAAGTTCAAAACCGGCACCTATATGGTCCTAATAGGTGACGGTTCAAAGCCAAATTGCCACGTGGCTGTCAAATAGGTGCCGGTTTTGAGGTCAAAACTGGCACCTATTAGGACCATATAAGTGCCGGTTCAAGCCTAAAAACCGGCACCTATTTGTTGGGTCAAAAAAATAATTGCAGTAAATTCATCCATTCAACCCCAATTCCATATAAACCTAAATTCATCCCTACAGCCCCACATCCATATAGCATATTCATTCACATTCACATTCACCACAACAAATAAAAACCTATAAGCCATTCATCACAACATATAAAAACCTACAAGTCTAAGTCAAAATTCGTAAATCCAAAAATTCCTATCTTTAAATCCTAAACATTTTCATATATATCCTAACTCAAAATATGCCTAGTTTAAAATTCCTAAGTCAAAAGATTGTAAGTCTAAAATTTTTAAGTCGAAAAATTCCTATGTCTAAATTGTGAACATTAATTTGCACATATATCCTTAGGTCATAAATTCACAAGTCTAAAATTCATAAGTCCATAAAATTGTAAATGTAAATTCTATACATTTGTATATAATTCACATTCATATCATTAAGGGTTAGCGACCTACTAAGTAACTCATAGAGCCTCAAAGCTCCTGCTGAGCACCACAGGGCATCCTCAACTTCTAATAGTTTATCACCATGTTGTTAACTTGTTATCCACATATCCAGGTGCCATCATGATATGCACTCCAAAAAAATCATGTCAAGTTTCAGTAAGAATAACAAATAACTTGTTATATAATAGAATCTCGCTGTGATTTTCAACTTTAGGATAGCCCGCTATGATAGATATAATATCATGAAGGCATAATTAGCCCCCAAATAGTGTGATGCATTTGTAGTGGCGAACTTGACTTTCTTCAATGACACTCAGAACTATTTTTGGCCCTAGGTGACAACAAGTAAATGATAAAATTTGAATGGTAAGAATCTCACTGTTACATGTCATCACTGTATTGGGCTGTCTGCTTTTTGTAGCTCTTACATGGTAATGAATTAACCACGGATTCTGGAGCCTGGGCAGAGACAATGGAAAGTGAAAGTGATGCAGGTTGCCGGTGAATTTCATCCAATACATGTGAAGAATCACAAAATCAAATAATAAATAGGTAGACAGAAAGATATGTAAATGCAACAACAAGCAGTAAAGTTGATCTCTCCCAGTCACACGTTAATTGATAAGTGCAACACACATATATGCCTCAGTAAGACTTAGATTGCAGTTACACCATTACTTTTGATACTTGAGCTAATGCAATCATGTAGGAGAAACCCTGCCTTTTATGGTTCATGCTTGTGTAAATTACCTGCCATATCCCAAATGCTTCCCAAACTGCCAAAAAGTCCATCAGATTTAGGCCACCTCTGCTCCTCCTTATCCCCAACATACTTAGCTTGAAGATCAATTACCAAGATTTAGTTTTCTATCTGGACAAACTATTGGTTACCTGATGCACTGTTGGCAGAAGAGCATCTCACAATCGGCGACAACGACGGGCAGCTTGGAGAGCGCCTCACACACCTTGTGCCACCGGTGCTAGTCGTGGCACCTGCTCAGCACCTCCTTGCACTTGTCCACCGCGCAGGAAGGGCACTGCTGCCCGGCGCCACCAACACCCTCAACGCGCGCGGTCACTTCACCGGCACCGAGGCCGCAGCTGCATCCACCCACAAAATCAATATCAATTAGCTATCACAAAACTTAATTTTGTAACATACATGTAACTAGCACCTCCCCGAACGCCTCGCAAGATTTTCGGGGACACACCAGGAGAGATGTCATCACCCACGCTGTCGTCGCCGGGAAGACACCGCGCTCAGGAGAGTTCTGTGATACTTATATACACAGAGATGGATTTATTCTAACATATGTCAGGTCATATGTTAGGAGGCACTTACATGAATCGTAATACATTTCAAAAATATTGTATGATCAATAATAGCATTTAAAAGCTAATATTGCAACAGATAAATTGTTCTAACCAACACCACTCAAAATTCAGAACTTACAACCGAGGTAAGCTATAACAGAGATAAAGCACACTGTATAAGTTAGCTTTTAAATGCTGCACCGTCAGGCGGCACACATAGTTATAACATTAGTAAAAATGAGCCAAACTAATTTACATAAAGCAGATGATATACCACAAAAGGTTGTGCATACTACCTGACAAGTGACGGCCAAGTGACCAACTAACCAGTAGAGCAGCTCACTGTAGCAGTTGCTCCAAGAGCCCTTCCTTGTCTAGGTTCTGTCAAGAGATCATCAAGTTATGAGTGTTTTTAACAGTTCAACATGCGAACATTTAAGTATTTAACCACTATAGCATTTCCTTCAAAATATCACAAAATTTTTCCCCTGGGACATTAGATTTGTTGCTTAGAGGTCACTTTGTTAAGGCTATTATTGATCATACATTTTTTTTGAACTTCTTAGTTCTATTGCCATGGAGATACTAGCTACTCGACTCATCATGTGTTAGTGGATGAAGAAAGTACATAAAAGATCCAAACAAAATCATCAAGAGCTGAGGAGAACTTGAGAGAGGGAGAGGTCACTTACCAAATCTCAAATCCGTTGATTCACAAATCATAATCACTTTAAGCGGCGCGGATGATGCGGATCGGTTGAGCTCCGTGTGGCGCCGCCGAGCTCCTCGTCACATCGGGCGGCAAGAGGACACAGGCGGCCTACGGGCTTTCTTCGACGGCGGTGGTGACGGACGGCGCCGGATCCGGTAGCTGACGAAGGGGTCGTGGCGGGGGCCGGCGACCGACGGTGGTAGCGCGAGGCGGCGGCGCGAGGGGGGGGGGGGAGGCGGCAACAAAAGGAATCATATAAGAAATCTGCTAAAAAAACTCGCATGCAACCTTAAGACGATCGGACTTCTAACGGCATCTCATGATTTTCTAAATATATATACATATATATCCAAGCGACATCTCATAGTGAATTTCATCTTAACTAAACCATATAAAAATAATAAGATTAAAATAGACTTCACCCGTTGCAACGCACAGGCATTTTTTCTAGTTACATAAAAATCGAAGGACTTTTTTGCAAAAAAAATCCACCCCAGCACTATTCCTCTCCTACGTGGCGTCCGCCCAGCGAGCGCCACTTTTATTTATCGAATATCGTACGTGAAAAATTCCTAAGTCTACAATATCTAAGAATTCGTAAGTGCAAAAATATAAATGCGATTGTTTTTTACCTCCAACATGGGGTAAGCATATGATTTTAAGGGTTTCTCGTCCTCAAGATATCTAGCCTGTAATAGAAAATATAAAATATAATCCATAATAATAATAAATATTCAAATGCATTACACATAAAGTGCACTTCCATAGTTCATGCATAAACACTAATTAAATACATTTTTTTACATAAATCTAGCTAGTTGGTTTTTCTTTTCCTAGGAGCTAATTTCTTCGCGGCTTGGTCCCGAGGGGGAGGGGCAGAAGATTGCGCTCGTTGTGGGAAGATATTGTCCGTAGGAAGAATTTCTTTCAAGAGCTCTAGCAACTCAGTGAAGCTCTTATCGGAACATCCGTTGCTCACCTTCAGGTGAAGCAGCGATAGGACCACTTGGAGCTTGCTGTGCTCCGTCTTACATCCATTGTAAACTGGAGTTTTGGAGTCCTTCACCCTAGTTGTGAACTTGTGATATTCCCTATCATCAGTGTCAAATCTCTCCCCGTCACGCAGCATCTGATCGACACATGTTTGGTCCTCCTCCTCCTCGCAGCCGACATCCGCATCATGCCCATGACAGTTGCCAGCACTTCCCTCACCTTGCTCCTCCTCGCTAAGGAAGTTGTCCATAAAACCCCTTGTAAGGAGATGTGAATGAACCCGTTGAGCCGGAAGTTGTCTGTCTTTCTTGCAATCATGGCATGGACACCAAATATATTCCGGTGCATCGACTAAGTTTGTGCTGGTGGCCGCAGCAACGAGAGCCGTTACTCCCCTGAAATACTCCACATAGTCACGATCCGATGTAGTTATCCATTCTAGATCTATTATATCCAATGGGTACCTGCGATTATTATCGTTTATTACAAACCGTGAAGGAAAAAACAATGAAGATTTCATAATTTACCAGCACATTAGAATAAAAACAACGAGGAAGGACCATTTTACCCTACGATAAAATTGAGGTTTTTGCACACAACCACATCACCTTAATTCAAATTTAGTATAACACCCGAGAACAGATCTACAAATGGCTAATGGATCCATACAAATGACTAGTGCATTTTACATGTATTACCACATGGCAATTCAATTCAACGAGCGGGTGTGAATCGGGGTGAGAAATAATGAATATTTACCTTGTAGGCTTCAATCTTCAACCAAAACCTAAGAAAAATCGAGCAAAACCGCTTCCACCTCCTCTAGCGGATCGATGGGCACCCTAACATAAATTTGAAATAAATCAAGCTATCAATAGATATTTTCGTGGCCTTAACATAGTTTGACTAGCATTAATTTGACTAACAACCATGACGTAGATGGAAGAAAACATTAACACAAATTTAGCATTTCATCCAACAATGGACATAAAAGAGATAAAAAGAATTATCCCTAAAAAGAATTGTCTTCCCAAAAGGCACCTTTATGTGGGACATGAAAAGCACTATTAGAGGAAAGGTGCCGGTTCTAGATCAAAAACCGGCACCTTTGTGTGGGACATGAAAAGCACTATTGGAAGAAAGGTGCCGGTTCTCGACCAAAAAACCGGTACCTTTGTGTGAGGCATGAAAAGCACTTTCGGAACAAAGGTGCCGGTTCTAGACCAAAAACCGGCACCTATTGAATATAAAAGGTGCCGGTTTTGGGTCTAGAACTAGCACCTTTCTCCGACATAGGTTTTAGGTGCCGGTTTTATTTAAAAACCAGCACCTATTTGAACATAAAGGTGCCGGTTTTTGAATATGTGGTGCGTGGGGGTGGGCGCGTGGGCGGGGAAGGCATTATAGGTGCCGGTTTTTGGTGTGCCGGCACCTATAGTGGCGACACATATTTGTCTTTTTGTAGTAGTGAATATTTGCTAATGATGGATTAATTAGGCTTAATAAATTCGTCTCGCAGTTTACTAACGGATTCTGTAATTAGTTTTTTTATTAGTGTCCAAACACCCTATCCGACACCCTATATAATATCTGATGTAACACGCCAAAACTTTACACCCTTAATCTAAATACCCCCTAAAAAGCCCCTAAAATGCATAGTATAGCGATAGGTTGTGTCGAAACATGAATTCGGCAATAATAAAACGGGGTAGCGCACGAGACCTAAAAGTGGATGGATGTGGAGACAAAGGATTTAGACAGGTTCAGGCCCTCTCGATGAGAGGTAATACCCTACTCCTGTTTGGGGATTTGAATCCGCCGGGTGTATTATAGATGTGACGATCTAGTTGTCTCATGCCCCTAGAGGGGGCTCCCTGCCCTCCTTATATAGGTTGGGGGGCAGGGTTACAAGATAGAAACCTTAACCAAGACGGTATCGGTTTCCTAAATCTACTTTACAATCTTATCAAACCAGGACTTTAGGCCGTTCCATAATATACAAAGAAACGTAATACCCAAGTCATAATCTGTTACATATTTCATAGATATAAGTTATCCCCTATAACTAGTTGGATAACCATGCCATGTGGGTATGGGGTACCCATAATCTCCACAGTAGCCCCTGAGACCTTCACAGTCAGAAAGATAATCTTCTCTCGAACTAGATTACTCCAAAGCCGAGTGCTTCAATTATCTTCGCCATGATCTCCCGAGTACTTTTTCTAAATCAGAAGACTGTGGAGGGCTGAAAAAATAAAGTCAGGTGCATCGACTAGATGCACCGAGTGGTTTCGATAATTGTAGTCAACCAAGCGACTTAATATTAATATGTAGCATATGCGGTGTGAATCCCTGAATAATATGATCCAAGTGATATACCGACTGCTTTGTAAAATATGATGAGTGTAACCTAAAGTTGGCTACATCATTGAAAATTCACATAGCAAAATAGCTATAAAGAAGCTTGTATGTTGTGAATAAAGAAATTTCCAAAGTATTGGGCATACGCCATGCGCACACTGCTTTAACATATGTGCTTAAGTCCCTAGAAGACACATGGTTCCACCACACCTGGAAATATATGGCATATGTGGTATAAAATCCGAGTAAATAAACTCATAAAGGATTTACCAACCGCCTGAAAAATGACCACAATATATAATCAGCCTAAGCCATAATATTGGTCAATAAAAATGCACACTTACGTGGCAAAAAGCAATGATATTGTATCCAATCAATTGCTTAAAAACCCAAACAGCACCATGACTATATAAAAAAGTCAGCGGGCCAGCTATATAAAGCTTTACTGTTTGACACCTTTTAAGATGCATTGTACCAACTCCTAAAAAGTTGAGTAACTGCGGTATAAAAGGATTTTAAGGTATTGGGCACTTGATCACGCGCACTTTGGCCTAAGCAAAAAGTGCCTAAGTCCCTAAAAGAACGTGACATGCCACACCTGAAAATATGGGCTGCAGACATATTAGGCCTAGGCCAAAAAATATGCCTTCGACACCCTTTAAAGGATGACGCATGTAACATGCTTCCGAGTAATAAATTTGGAACGGGTGATATAGACCAAGTGTAGCTCATATCAATCGCTTCTGATCTGAGTGATTATCCCTTATAGGATACTCCAAAATAAATATAATAATTAAATCCCGACTGGCGCAAGTATTCGGTTGTAACCCTTATGGGGAATAATAAATAGTCCAGTCTTTAAACATAGAAAATAGACCCATGATCATGAATCCATATTGCATGTATCCAGAGCAAGTCCAAATTGAAGGTATGATACTTGTGTTTGAGCTAGTAAGCCCCTGAGCACGTAGTCACAATTGTTCATTGATGGTAGCTAACGCAATTGGCATAGAGACAAGACGACCAATACAGAGATAATATTGCCCAGCAGAGGTGGCAAAAATATTGGTGGTAGTGAAGATAGTGATACCAATCAAAAGTGATGAAGTTGCACAGCCGTGGAGGCGAAGAAACCAGTCGGCAGCAGTCAGATCAGCCAGCAATGAATATGAAGGCGCTCAGCGATAAAGTTGTGTAGCTATGGCAGCGAAATAATCAGTCGGTGACAGACGAGGCAAATCAAAGGCGATGACGAAATCCACCAATCATGAAGATGAAGAAAATACTTGACGACGACAAACGCAACCGACATGATGAAGATGACGATGTCGGTGATCCAGCCAATAGCAGTGTAGCAACCAATGATAATGACAAAGACGCTCATCAGCATTTGCATAGTAGGTCAACCGTGAAGGTGAAATAATAAGTCGGCGAAAACATAATCATCCATTAGCAACAGCAGAGATGTCAGGGTCGATGAAGCAGAGGTGCTGGTGATGATGTCAGTGACAATAATCCATCAAATTAATGTTATAACTGTTGTAGATGCTTCACTTGGAGGAGAGTTGATGTTGTTGCCCAACTCGTCTAAACCGAAATATTTGAAGTTGTTGAAGTAGAATGTCTGCTCCGAAGCAAAGATGAAGATAATGACTCCTGGAGTTGACTCGTGGGTTGATGAATTGATTTCTTCAGCTTGACATAAAATTTGTCAAATTTTGAGCCTTGTATTTGTGTAGCCCCCGACTCTTTGATTAGTTGGGAAACAACTGAACATAGAGTCGAGAACTGTAGCTTCTTGTCGTCGAATAGTCATTGCTTGATTGAAGATATGTGTTGAAGATGTCCAAGTAGAAATCCTGAATATTGGAGAGCCAC